ACAGCGCTGTCTCTCCCTGCTCCAGAAGGGTAGGACCGAGCCGAGCACAGCACCTCTCACAGGAACACGGGGTGTTGCCCCAGACGAGGAAGGTAACGCGCTGCAGCCGTGGCAATCATCAGCAATTAGCCCGTGTGGGAGCTCGGCTTGAAGCGCTGCAGAGGCTTTTCTGTGCGTGCCGACTGCTCATCCCCCGGTCCTTTGGAAGGGATGCGAGTTGGCCATGCCAAACCGCCGGTCATGTCTGAGCAGAGCTGGGTGCTTCGTGTCATTTCCATGAGGCTGGGAGGGCTCGGGGGGATGTCTGTGAATGTTAAAGGCACTTGTGTACCCAAGCAGTGAACGCACATGCTGTCATTACCTCTGCAATGCCATCTGGCCAGCAGCAACGCAGCTCCCAACCAGGGCTGCGCGCAGAAGAACATTTTACAACAGAAAGCAATTAACCGAATAAAGCCCTTTATAAAATCCAGTAATTAAAAACAGTCCCTCCCCCTTGTTTTCCTTTTAAGCTGAAAGTTGCTGTTTACTCATTTGCTTTACAAAGTGTGCCTTGTTGTGGCTTCAGAAGAAATGAAAGTTTGAAGTGGTTAGAGAAGAAAGGCTTTGGGGCTGGTGCGTTCCAGGCAGGGCGGAGGGGCAGGGGCTCTCCAGCCCGGCTTGTTTGTATTTGTTCTTGTCTACTCACAAGATCGCTAAACACACATTTAACAAGTGGTGAAACTGTCTAACCAGGCTCATCTCTCCCAGGCTTCCTGGGAAGAGCCCTGGCACATTAGCATCGCTGGGGGAACGGGAGGGGGGCACAGCCCTTTTGGTGTTGTGGGGTTGAGGGAAGGGCTCCTTGTGCAGGCCAAGGAGCAAACAAAGGCATTGTGTTCCCCGAGCCCTAGGGCCTGGCCCCGGGGCAAGGACAGGGCCTCCCTGCTTCACCAGCCTCTGTTTTCCCATCGCAGCTCCTGCTGCTGTAGCTCGGGTGCAGCCTCAAGGGCATCAGTGTCCTTCCAGTGCCCAGAGACCGGAGCGGGGCTGGAAGTCAAGACCCCAGAAGCCCACCATAGTGTTCACACAGACCATCCTGGTACAGACAGAGACACCTCACCTTGTCTGCATTGCCCTCTCCAGATCTGAAACACCAGAGGGGAGCAAACCTTTGTCCATCAACACATCATCGCTCACTGCTGCTCCTCCGTCCAGTGAGCGCCCAGTGCGCTGGCATCAGGATGGGTGAGGAAACTGAGTCACACCAAGGGCAGCCAGGACCAAAGGGCAGCCAGAACTAAAGTGCTGGTGTCTGACACAGTCCATTGGGATGCTAGTTCTGGAGCAGAACGTGATCCTGCCCCTGGCCATCACCCAGCCCTGCTCACCAGAGCCACCTTATGCATGTTCACACCTGCAGGTCCCGGCCTTTCCCTGGGCACAGGCTCATGGGGACAAGCACCATCTCATGGGGCAGGAGCTCTTGCTGAGGCAGCAGCACCTCTGAGCTGTCCCAAGCCCCATCCCATGGTGTTTCCACAGCTGCCCAGGCGGAGCCGCGTTCCTGGCTGCTGGAATAGACCTGCTGCAGGGCAATAGGTGTGAGGACACAGACAGCACTGGCAGGGTGGTGAGCGCAGCACCGTGGTGCAGGATCTGCCCCGTCCCTGCCTGGGGAAGGGTGAGGCCACGGGTTTGTGGGAAAATGTTGTTTTTCCCTCCCCTGGCCTGCCCCAAGCCGTCGCTGGGCCGGCTCTGAACTGCGGGGGCCGGGGAAGCAGGGGGGGGGGAGTCAACAATTGTGGTGCCTCTGGCTTGGAGCGCAGCCACGGCAAACAATCCTCTCCTGGCTGCCCTCCAGATCTGACAAGGCACGGAGGTGATAGCGCATTCCTACCTACACGCTTTCATCCCCCATCACCTCCCGAACGCCCTGCCTGACTCTGCTGCCTGTGATGAATCCCTCTGCTCAGCCACAGAACAAGACAGCCCGTCCACAGCGCTGCAGCCAGGAATCCCGGCCAGCATCCCTGCGAGGCCTCTGCTTTTGCAATTACAGCTGTGGGTCTGGCGGGCAGTGGTGGGACCTGAGGTTAGGGAGGTGATGTTGACTGAAGATGTGCGGACAGGGCATTCCAGGCATGCACGGGGTTAAAGCAGAGGTGTCAGTTCATGGGGAGGTAACAGATAAGTCCTGCTCCTGCTGCCTCTGGCTCTGCAGAAGCCGTGCTCTCCCTCCCACATTCCAGCTGCTGCAGCTTTTCACAGCTGGCCGCTCTCTGGGGACATTTCCCAGAGCTGAGCAGGAGGGAGGGGAAGGAGCAGGATACGGGGGGGGGGGTTGGTGTCTGGTCTGATTGTGCCCCCCCTCCTCCAGGGAACCTTGGGCTAGAGCCTTTCACCCCCAGGAGCAGGCTTGGCACCGCCAAACCTGGGCAATCCCAGGTTCCTGGCAGGGATCCACCCTCAGCCCTGGCCGGGAGAGTTTTTCCTGCTGCAGAGACAGGACATCAATCTTTGCAGCTCACTTATTCCTTGGCCTCTGAAGCAGGGTAGCCAATTAGTGCTGGGTGTGATGGATGGCTTAGCCCCGTCCTCGTGACACCCATCCTCTGGAAACAGTTCCCACCATGAGAGGCACAGCCAGCAGGAGCAGGGACAGCTCTCGCCCGCCTCCAGCCCCTGAGGGTCTCACAGGGGTGCTGGGCCTGGGGACAAGCACTGCAGCAATGCTCGCTGAGCAACCAGAGGCTGTGCAGGAGGGGAAACAGCCCTCGACACTGGGCCAGGGTTCAACATTCAGGGTTTGGGGAGAGATTTCCTCTAATAACTCCCTGGCTTGGCTGTGGCAAAGCTTGTAGCTCTCTGGGGAGAGCAGAGCGGCTTGGGGAGGAGGTTGGTCACCCAGTTTGTGGCTCTGTGCTTGGGGTCAGGCTTTGTCCCATGGGAATAGCTTGCGTGGCTGCTCAGTGAGAGGCAAGGAGGTGGCAGAAACCCCATTTCTGCTCTTAGACCCCATCTCCCCTTCCCCAGCATCATCTCTTGTCCCACTCTCTGCCGCAAGTCATGGGTGATGCCTATGAAAACCCGGCTCCCCTCGCATGCACCTTCATCCTTCCCTGTCACCTCCATTCAAACGATCTGGAGGGGTCTCAGCACCATCCCTGCATCCATCCTGGGTGGTTCAGATGGACCTTGGGATCTCCCGGGGCTTGCTGGGGGCCATTATAAATGACTCTCCAGAAGCACAGGCTGGAAAATGGATCTGATTACAGGAGAAGTGGGTTTCGGCCCCGCTCTGTTCATAATGAAGTGTAACCCTAGAAAAACATGTTGCCAATTACACTTCAATTGAACCCAGATAATGACACTTGAACAAGAAGGCTTAGTCCAGGATAGATGGAGCCTGGACAGTGAATTCCTGTCTAATGGAGACGAAAAGTGTTCCTCCGTGGCAGTCTGGGCTCCGCTTGGTTCAGGCTCTTTGTGGTATGTGCAAGAGCTTGAAATAACCAATCTCTGGATCCCATTTAAATGGTTTTATCAGTAGAAAGGGTATTAATCTCTCAAAAACACATGTTTATGGGAAGTTTAGTTTGGAGATGGATGTATTTTGAAGTGAAATCACTTTGGAAAGGAGGAGTGGGTCTCAAACTCGCTAAAATAACACTAATTCTGCTTCAAAGTAACCCCACTTTGAAATGTAAGCTCGGTTTCTTGACCACTTATAGGGAAATCAAAACATCCAACATTGCAGAAACAAAGTGCCATAACCTAAAGCGAATGCTTTATTCTCATTCGGGGGGGGACCTCAGATTTCCACCCCAGCGCGGGGTGGCTGGACCAGGGCTCCGTTCCTTCACTTGGGGAGGGAGGAGTCGGAGCACTCGGCCCCAGCGCTGATGATGGGCTGTTATCGCCTCCACGGTCTCTGCAAAAGGCTTTGGGAAACCCACGTGGTGCCAGATCCCAGCGCTGATTATTTTATGGGGGGGGGGGGGGTTCCAACTAAAAGGCGTTATTTTTGTAGCGCTCTCCTTCCTCCCCTCTGCCTCCCCCCCGTTATTGATGCCTTGGGGGATTTTAGCAGCGCAGGACTCTGCAAACCAGTCACAAACAGCCTCCTCCTGCAAGCTCAGGGAAGGCGAGATGCTCTCTAGACGCCGGGCTGTGGGTCTGAGCTTCCGGCGTTATGGGATGAGACAAGAAAACAGCGATTCACGCTGGTGTCATAAAACCTAACGTCGTGTTTAGTTGGTTTGGTTTACAGGGTAGGTGGTGGACGCTCCATCAGTGCCATGAGCTGGCACTCGAAGATGCTTCAGGGCTGGGAGCTGAGCTCCTAGTGGGACCAGGACCCATCGCAATGGTCCAGCATCGTGCTGGACCCATCCTGATGCTTCCAACCGTGGTGCCACCACTGCTGTCCTGGCCCTCAGGGATTAATGGCAGGGGAGGGCTCTTTGCACAACGTCCTCAAACATCCCCGTGCTTCCAGGGAGCTGGTTTCCATCTGAATCATGAGCCTCCGAGAGTGCCTGCGCCCAGCGCGGGGCAGACATGTGTGTGCGTGTGGGGCTGGATGTTGATTTTTCCCTGAAACAACTCAAGGCTTTATCAGTCCCATCTCTTTCCCACGGTTTTCTGTTGCCAGTGAGGTCACTGGTCCCTTTAAACTGGGGCTGAGGCCAACGTGCGGCGGGTGGAAGGGGGGTGGCGGGGACATGAGACGGTTCACACAGACTGTTCCTTTTACAGGAAGACTTGGGATTTCGACCAGAGAGCGGGAGGAGGCGGGGGGGGGGGGCCTGGGAACCTGGGCCGTGCAATCCGTCACTCCCGGGGGATGGTGCCTCATTAACCCGTTCACCGGGGGGCCGGGGCGCGGCCGGGTGGGGAAGGCGGAGGGCGGGCAGGGGAGGGGTTGGTCCTGAGCAGCTCCTCCGCGTTAGAGCGGGTTGCGGCCGCACTCGCTGCCCCGAGGACGGCGGGAGAAGGAAGGAAGGAAGGAAGGAAGGAAGGAGCGAGGACGGACGGCCGCGGTGGTGGTGGTGATTGAGGGCAGCCGAGCAGAGCCCGTCCGGTGCCGCCGGCAGCATGAAGCGGTTGTGCGAGGAGAGCTCCTCCGACACGGAGTCGGACGGCACTATCGACGTGGGTCGGGAGGAGGAGTACCGGTGAGGGCGCGGGGTCGGCGGTGGGGTTTGTGGGGGGGTCCCAGCACTAGGCACGGAGGGCGGCTCCGTTCACCTCGGTTAACCCCGCCGGGCCGGGCCGGGCTGGGCTGGTACTGCCGTGGGCAGGAAGGGCCGGGGGGGGAGGACCAGGTCATCCCAATCTGCGTGTGAGGGGAGCCCCGTCTCGACGCAGGTATCGAAGCTGTTACGAGCTGATTGAGCTCAAGGAAGCGCCTCGCTAAAGCCAGAGCAAAAGCTTTCCCCTGCAGGGGGGGAGAAGGGCAGCTCCGAGCTCACTTGGCAGTAGCACCCCGAGCACAGGCGCCCACCGGGTGCTGCTGCAGCCCCAGCGATCCACGGGCTCGCAGGGAACGGGGAAGAATCCAGGAGGTTTTGCATGAGGAACGCTTCAGCTCTGGGGATGCATTTGTAATGCACCAGCTGGGGCTTTGATCTTCATTAACATTTGAGCTGTGCTTCCAGTACCGCAGTCTCCGTCCCATCGCTGCTGAGCCGCGGTTTCGGCGCTGGGGCTTTGCTGCTTGGGGAGATAGTGAGGGAATAGCAAGCACAGGACCCCCACATGGTTCCCAGGCCATGCCCTCCTGCTTTGCCAGCTCCCCTGGCAAAGGGCATCCCTAGCAGCTCAGCTTCCCACGCTGTGCCAGCCGTGCCCGGGCTCTGAGCACACAGACGGTGTTGGCAATAAAGGAATGGTGCTGCGACTTGTTCTGCTCCAAAACCCAACTGCTTTTGAACTCTTGCTTCAGTAGCCAAGTGTCCCCCTCCCTCCCTTCGCGTTCAGTGAGTCCCCAGGTTAGTTCATTCCCTTTTGCTGCTTGGTATCCCAAGCAGAGAAGTCGCCCTGCCCGGTGCCAAGTTACCGTTCTCATGGGGCTAAATTCAGGAGGCTGCTTCTCGCTGATGCAGTCGTGGCAGAGACTGAGAAGTAACGTCCTGCACCAACTCACTGACCCCTTAGGCAGCTTCCAAGCACATCAATGTTTAAGCTACCTCCCTGCTGCGTGTGAAATACTCAGTGCAGCACTGAGTATGCAGTATCCTGATGGATGGAACGGAGGGGTTGTCATGTTTCACTGAATGGTGATGATGAATTGTTGAGCTCTCTGGTGCTGCTAAGACGTTTACCTTCTCAAGTCACGGAACCAGGCAGTGCTGTGAGCTGGTGCTTGTGTACGTGTGTATCACTGCTTGTGCCACACCAACACACAGCCAGAAGAGCTGTTCCTGCTCTGACAGGGCTGGGCTCTTTGGGGTTTTGCTTCTTGTTCTGAATCAACAGCCAAAGTTGTGCTGTAAGTTATAAAATTGAGCAGAGAGCAACACAGCGATTCTAATCATCAGAGAACATCGTGAGGGTGTCTTTTATGTGGTTCAAATCTGTCAAGCATATTTTGAAAGCATATGCTGCAGTGAGCTCAGTCTTTATATCCACATCTGGAGCCGCAGCTCACAGAGAGCTCTGCAAGGAGAGCTTCAGAACTCCCTGTTACAGCTCCTTGAGTGAGCGTTCCACATTCCTGTGTCCCAGGCAGCTTCGATACTGACTCCTGGCACAATACCTGACCCCAGAGCCCGTTTTCACATCATAGGTGCTCATCCTGTGTGTGTTTATGTATGTTGGCAACACGTGTTGGTGCTTGTTGGAGCCAGCCAGCACCTATGCCCAGGGAAAGCCCACCCAGCAGCCATTCAGATAGGTGCCCGTGAAGGGGAGTGAAGAATGAGTTACTTCATCTGAGTGTAAAACCAGCTCTGAAAGCACCTCACTTGGGGCCAACAGAACCTATTTCTAATGGGCTGAACTGGGTCTGGTCTTTGGCTTGCTGTTCAGACAGCTCTGTCCATGCAGAAACATCTTTAACAGGCTCCTGTTAAAATGCCCCTTCCCAGATCCTTGCCTCTTGCGGTCCCTCCGCAGCATCAGGCTGGCTATGGTTGCCGTTAACATCCCTGCACCAGGTTCCATAAGGCACAGGAACAGTGCTAAGCCAGTCCAGCTTTCCAGAGGGAGAAACCCTGCCTGTTGAGATGGAAAGTGGCCTTGGGCAGCCTCCCCCCGCAGTGGAGTGGCTTTGCTCCAAGGAGTTTCCCACGCTGAGTTATCCATTGTTGTGGAGTCTTCACCTCTGCAGGGACCCGGGGGTTGAACTTTGTCTCCCTGTGCCTGTCTAGTGCTGACCTTTGGTGTCTAACCTCACCCGTGCCCACCAGGCACAAGACAGTTTGTGGGGGCCCTTCTTAGTCTGTTCCTCCCATGTCCCTCGAGCAGAGTTGTCAGCCAGCAGGCAGGGTCCCTGCCCCATTACCTCCTGCTGGGTGCTCCCCTGCCCCGCTCCTGGCTCCTCTCTGCCTGATTTGGGGATATCCAGAATATCCCTGGTGCATTCAGAACATCGCAGCCTATTCCAAACCATGCGGTTTGTGAAGTGACTCTCCAGGAAGCCCTCAGAAACCACATCAACGTTGCCGTTAGCCTCACCCTGAGGAGCAGCCAGCCCTTCGCTACTCCTGGGTGGGAGCTCGGGGATGTGCTGGTGCTATCACAGCTCTGAGAGGCAAAGCCCTGCAGACAGGGCAGGCTCAGACATGAGAGCCGGGAGGTTCGCACATGGAGAAGGAAAAGGCCCCGACTCCAAAGCTTGGATCGCTACTTTTCCAGCCCCATGGTGATGCCGGCACTGGTTGAGATCGAAGGAGACGAGTGCCTGGTAGCAGATGGACAATTTGGTGCAGAAATCTGTCCCAGGCTGGTGGGAGACTTGGAGTGGGATTTGAGTCTCTGCTTGGCTCCCCATCCCCAATTCCTGAGCTCTGTGTTGTGGGTAAAAATGAGATGGGAACCACAGAAGACATTATTCAGGGAGGGGGGGGACAGCAGATGGCAAACGTGTGTAAAGCACATGTGTGACAGAGGTTCCTCTGCAGCTAGCATGAGAAACGAATCCCTCTTCTTCCCTTCCAGCCATGTTTCCAGGTCTGTGTCTCCCACTACGACATCTCAGATACAAGCCAGGAAGAAGAGGAGAGGGGTGAGTGTCATTTACGTTGCCCAGGGTGGCTGGGCTATGTCTCCCGGGGGAGCTAGGTTGTTTGCAAGGGCTCCCTGTGACATCCTCTGCATGCAGTGGGCATATCCTTACTGTGGGAACACAGTGGTAAATGAACTTCACAGTGTTCCCTGCTCTATCTCCTGTGGAACTCTCCCCACACCCACCCAGAAACGTATTTTGCAGAGGTTTGGCCTCAGATTTGGCAGGAAAGGGTGGGGATGGGATGGAGGAGCATGGTTTCATTGTGGTTATCACAGCAGTCAAGGTTTCTGTGCTCAGTTTTTGCACCAAAACCACTTACTTATATGGCCCTGTTCTAAGCACCTCTCCCAACCTGCCTTAGCTGGTAACAGGCTGTGAAGCTGTGGCCATAAATGACCCTGGTTTCTTCTCTCCCTTTGGGAATCTCCTGCAGATCATTGAGAAGCGGCGCCGGGACCGGATCAACAGCAGCCTCTCGGAGCTGCGGCGCCTGGTGCCCACTGCCTTTGAGAAGCAGGTGAGTGTGTCCCTGATTCCCACCTTTCTTTGCATCTGGGCTGTCTCTCTTCCCATCATCACTGCAGGGACTAAGTAGGTGGTGAAACTGGGTGGCAAAACAATATTCCCAAATATTCAGGAGCCCTGGGGAGGATAAAGTCAATCCAGGAAGTGTTTTGGATAAACCAGATATGAAGATGCACAGGAATGGGCTTTTACAATTTGCATCTGGGCACCTTAGGAGTGATGTAAAAATCAGAGCCGGTGTCCTGGGTGGATGCTTTGCTCCATCTGAGTGCTTCTGGATTCAGGAAGGTTTTGGAGGGGGTGGTCACTGGCCAGCTCCTGAGAGGCACAAAACCCCAGACCATAAAATGATGAATTGCTCTTTTTCCTGCTCCCAACACACAGGGGTCTTCCAAGCTGGAGAAGGCAGAGATCCTACAAATGACAGTAGATCACTTAAAAATGCTTCACGCCACTGGAGGAGCAGGTAAGAACTGCACGTGTGTGAGGTGAAGGTGAAAACTGGAAGGGAAATTCCCCGTCAGCCTGGGCACCAAGCAGCACCTTGATGCTGGCATGCCCGGGTGACACCAGCCAGCACCAAACTGACTGCTGTCCTGTCTGTTTCCCAAGGGAAATGCCCTTTGAGGGACGTTTCCATGCATCCATTTGGCAGACAGTGGTATATGGGATGGCAAATCCCAGAGACCCATGGGGATGGTACCACTGTCATAGTCACACACTCTGCTAAAAGCAGTGCAGCTGGGGACGTGCCTGGTCTTGCTCTGCTTGCAGAAAAGCGGTATTGAGCTCTTTACCTCCTCCTGGGATACATTTCCTGCAGAGGCTGGATTCTGCATGGAGACTCTGCAAATAAACAAGGCTTTTTTCCCTCTCTGTTCCTCTTTTTGTGTGTCTCTTGGTTGTTATAAGAAGAGAGAGGGAGCCCTGTGCAAGATTCAACAAAGGTCTTATTTGTACTGAGACCTCAGTACAGACCCTCTGTCCTGTTCCAGTTAACAGGATGGAGATCACAGCTCCAGTAAAGAAGCCTCTGGCTTGCTTACCACCCGGTTTTGGCTTGCTGGGGACATTGCTGGCATCCAGGCTTTGGTTCAGAGCTGTAACTTGGTCTGGAACATTTGTTTAGATATTCAGTTTGACTGCACTGCAACAAAGGGCTGTATTGTCACGAGAGACCCTGTCAAGCAAAGTGGTCCAAGCGCTTCACTGTGCTGTGACATTCTCTGCTTTATTGCTGATCGTCTTACGGAGCTGCAAGTAGGGAGCAGAAGCCTGAAAACCAGCCGTGGGTTGCATTTTATCCTGTTGATTTCTGTGGCTTTGAGCTTTCCTGGCCCAGTGGTTTTGGCCTGCCACTGTCCCGTGTCCTTCAGCCTGATATGTGCTTAAATGAAGGGTAAAAATTGGGACACAGGCAGAGGAAAATGGTGCTAAGCTGAGCATGGGGAGCCCCATTGTCCCCCAGTCTGCAGGACCAGAGATGGTCTATTTGCAAAGAGGGACCCAGTGCCCATCTGGCCCATAGACCTTTCTCCATCAGTGATAACCGAGAGAGTCCAATAGGAAAAATTCCTTCCTGAGCACAGTTAATGAAACCTCTTACTTGTCTCACACGCTGTAGTAAGAGGCTTCATGACCTTGGCAGTTCTATCCCAATGAGATAACCACAGATGCTCTTCTCACGCATGCTAATGTCCAGTCCTGGACACCCACTTGGCTGGCTGCGTCAGGAATATCGCCCGGCAGCAAAGTGCCTCAAGTGAAATACACAGTGTGTTAGAGAGGGTAGTGAAATCCAAGCACATTCCTGAGCTCTGCATGGACTTCTCACTGCATCCTCTCCCTACAGGCTTCTTAGATGCTCGAGCTCTGGCCGTGGATTACAGGAGCATCGGCTTCCGCGAATGCCTCACTGAAGTTGTGAGGTACCTGGGCATCCTTGAGGGTCAAAACGCCGCTGATCCCATCCGGCTGCGCCTCCTCTCCCATCTGAATAATTATGTGGCAGAAATGGAGCCTTCGCCTGTGGCCACTTCGCTCCTGCCCATCCAGACGTGGCCGTGGTCCTTCCTCCACAGCGCTGCTGGCCCCGTGCAGATCCCCAGGAGGGAGGCTGCTCCCGCTCCGGTTGTTTTGACTGCGTCTTCCCTGGCTTACCCCAGCCCCGCTGTGAGGCCAGCCCCGCTTCGCCGTGTCCCCGGTGACGTGCTGCCGTCCCGCCGAGGCTTCCTGGCCAGCAAGATGGGCTCTTCCAGCCGCAGGGCCCGGGGTGCAGGCTCATCCGCAGCCGTGCCCAGGATGCCAGCACCAGCAGGTGCATTGAGAGAGGGCTCATCCAAGAGCAGCCAAATCGCCACGCTCCTCTTCTCACCAGCCTCCACCGGCATCCCCATGCCACCGGCTTACACAGCACCTCCTGCCTTGGGCGCTGCCACGCAGGGACCTGGGATCAGGGTTGGGACATCGAGGATCTGCCGCTCCTGGGCGACTGAAATCGGGGCTTTCTGAGCCTGCCGTTTGGAGATGGGAATTCCTCAGCACTCATTGCCTACAGGCCTAAGAACAAACTCAGCTGAGAAGGCATCTTTCCTGCTTTGCAAAAACCAAGGATCCATAAAGAAAATCCTCTTTACTCTTCCCTCTCTCCTTGCACCACGTTTCTTGCCTCACCATCACACGTTCTCTCCCTCATGATGCCTGCAAACAGGAATCACATACTATTTGATGCACTTGTCTGCACACAGCTACCCCCAGATCCTTCAGGCTACAGCAGAAGGGGCACATGCAGATCCCAGCCCTGTTCCACCTCCAGCAAACCACTCTGCGGAGCCCTTTGGAAAAGAGCTAGCCTTGAAATACTGTTTTATTTCCCTGGGGGCCCTGAGCTGCCAGACAGAGACTTGCTTATGCCGATGCCCTGCGATGTGTCCCCCAGCTGCAGCACCTAATGTTGTGCTCCCCTTATCCCCAGCATTGCTGGCACCCCAGCTGCAGCCCCCCCAGCTCCCTTAGTGAACTTGCCTGCCTGTTAATCCCCACGCTTTCCTCACTGCATTACCAGCTTTCCCCACTTATGTGCCCTTAAGGTGGAGTGAGGCAACAGCTTAACAGAGCTTGTTCCCACAGCTGGGCTGGAATTCCGCCGGATCCCTGCACAAACCATGCAGGAGCAGCCAGCCAGGCCTGCGCAGCCCCCGCTCTGCACTGAGGTGTGAAGAGACGAGCAGGAGGATTTCAAAGGGATGTCAGTCACAGAGGGGAAGGCTCTGATGGCCAAAGTGAGAAGAAAAGGCCTTTCCTTTTGCCAGTCTCTCCTCCATCCCCTGCTGAACAGCTGTGACTGCAAAGGGGGAGAATGAGTCAGAAGGGCCTGCATTTGAAGTGCCTCCCTTGTTCTCTCTTAGCCCTGCACCCCTCAGCCTCTCATCCTGTCTCTGTTTTCTTTCTTCAGCACCGTGTTTTGGTCTCACATTGCTCATCCCTCTCCCTGGGCCAGGACCAAAGCCCACTGAGGTTTCACTGCAAACCTTGGCAAGCCCTGGGGCTGCACTTGTCCCGAGTCCCAAGAGCTTTTTCTGCCTTGGCCTGCATGCCCCAAGGTAACTGACACAGCAGATGCTGCTCCTCCAGCGGTCCTCCCCTCCTCTCCTTTGAGCAGAAAGGCACAGGGGCCACCCTGCTCCTATGCCACATCCTGAACTCCTGTAGTGTCCAGGACAGGAAGTCTCAGTGCTCCTACTTGTCTGAGCAGCCCCTGCTCCTGCATCTGTGCCTCGACTTGCTGGGATGCACAAGCAGAATAGCCTGGACCCAGTTGCATGCCAAGGAGTCTCACCCCCCTCCACATCACTGTGACAATAAAAGAAGGAAAAGAGTGGAGAGGTCAGTGGAAAGAAAATAAAGAGGGAGTTCTCTCTTGAATGGGAGCGGCTCTCCCCACGCCTCAGGTCAAACACGCAGCAGCCGGTTAGACTGTGTGGATGAGCTGGTGTTTGCCTTCCTGCAGATTGCATCTGCCATGTGCATGGCAATGTGTCTATCTGCTATTGTTTGGAAAGTGAGTGCCTCCCAGTTGTTTTGATGGAAGTCATCGCACTTAACACACAGAAAAGCCTCGGCTGCTTCTCCCCGCCCTTGTCCTGAAGTGCCAGGATCAGCCAGGAACAGCATATTCCTTGTTAATGAAGCCAGAGGAGGTCCTCATGGACCCCAGTTGTTCCTGCAGCACCCTCGAGCTCACAGCAAGTAGCCCAGCCTCACTTTACACTGTGGAGAGCTGTTAGATTCACGAGCTGTGGCATCCAGCAAAGGTGTCAAATAAAGTCTTTCAAACCCCTGTCCTGGTTGTGAATGTAGTGTTGATGTGACTCTGTTCTGCTCATCCGGCCTGCTGCTTCTGCAGCAAGTGAGCCTGTGTTCCTGAAAAGCTTCAGAGAAGGTGAGGTGGGGCTTGTCCCTGCTGGTCATTTTATAGCTACTGCTCTCTGGTCCCCTGACTTTTGACTTTGCAAACCATTCTGTGGGTCAGACTCAGCCGGACAGGCAGCAGCACTTGCACTCAGACTGGCAATCATCTGTGGGTTGAGAAGGAATGATTTCATTTAGCAGCATCTACAGAAGTATCAGTGGCCAAACAGGGTCTGGTGGAGCCCGGCAGCCCGGCGCCTCAGCCTCCCGAGCGTTTGCAAGCAGGAGCAGAGTAACCCCGGCTGCATCTTGCTGTTGGGAAATGCTCTGGGCTAAACAAAGAGCCACAGCTGAGAGCTGGTCTCTGTCTTGAGGAAAAGACCAGCAACTGATCCTTCTCGTGAAAGATGCTGGGAGAATTTTGTGGGGAATGGTGGGAATTCGACTTCCTTTCCCATAACTCCTTTTCACTCCAAAATGCCTTTCAAAACCGCTCATAAATCCCTGCCTTAAGTGCTGTGTTGGGAATTGCTGGAAGGGAGCAACTGCAGCTGTGATGGAGTAATGCAGCATCCGTCTGGAAGGGGAGAGAAACTTCAAGAGCAATAATAGGGCCATTGATGCCGGGTTGTCCCGCTGGTGCCTCAGCTGCCCTGACCCGGCTGGAGGCGGTGGTGGGAGCTCAGTGCTCTGGTGTGGCCTTGGCTGTGGAGAGGAGCGGAATTGCCCTCGCTGTGGGAGGCAGGCACAGACCAGCCCCGCGGGCTGCGCTGCTAAACCAAAACAGAGGCACTGGAACAAAACCACTTCCTGATCTCTGCTGATCAAACAGGAGCTGGAGCGGGTGGGAGGGCATCGGTTCAGGCCCGTGGGGTTTTCTCCCCACAGCACCACGGTGATTAGAGCAGTAGCCCGGGACTGGAGCTTAATTTTTTTTCCCAGGGTCTTCTTTAGCCTAAACGTCTGCTCTAACGCATCCTGGCAACTTTTGATCTACCCTGTAGGGGAAATCCCCAAACTCTCCGTGCACTCTCTTCATCCTTGTTCTTCAGGCAAAGGAAAACATAATGAAGAGGCCTATGGGAATGTGTGGGCTGGCTCCGTGGCGTACAGCGCTGGGGAACACGGCTCCAGCTCCCACAGGCTGGCATGAAACGGGGTCCTGACGAGCCAGCTGCTCGGAGGGCACCAGGGCACTTGCAGGTTGCAGGAGTTCTGCTGTGCAGCGTGGGTCGGGCTCTTCTCCTGCATGGCAAACGGTGCTTACTTACCTGATTGATGCTCCTGCCTGCGTCCTCCCGCTGTTGGTGCAATCCCGGCCTGCCCTCTGCTGGTGAAATCCCAAGGCTCAGGAGGAGGATTCCTAAAGCAGGGTCAGGGTTTGGTTGAACCCTTGCCACCCGCGTTGAAAACAGGATGCTGTCTTGTGAGGACCGGCAGGGATGCGGCACCGCTCAGATACACGGGAGCAGAGCGGCTTGCGAGGGTGATGGCTCCCACACAGCATCATCGATGGGCACACACCGGCAAGATGAAGGCATCAAAACCTTCACTCCAGGCACTGCTGCAGGTCTTGAGAGGGCAAACTGGGAGGCTCCTGTTGGTCATCGGGGGCAGCTGCCCTCTTGTGTTGAGGGTACCAAGAGGAGTGGGGTCCCTGGGGCAGTTTTGGGCCCTCATCAGCAGAGGATCCCCCCCAGATGCTAGGAGAGAGGAGGACACAGTTGTCTGCATGGTGTCCCCTGGGAGGGGATGTGAATGTCAGTAACTGGTACAGATAAAACCCATTCTCAGCGTAGCCACAGCAGGGCCTCGCAGCCAAAGGGTGTTTTATGGGGGAACGTGTTTCTTGAGCTGCGTTTTGCCTTTAGCCGTCAGAACAGGAGCCACTCCAAACTCCTGCCACAGCCAAGCCGCCGGTCTCAGCCTGGGGTTTCACAGCTCCGGAGATGCTGGGCTGTGGAGGACCAAGTGCGATCCCAGCAGTGCTGCATCCCAGCACCACTGGGAAGATCAGCTCAGGAGAAGGATGATTTGTGTCTGAAGAAAATAACCTGGACCAAAAATAGTGCAGAATACTACAGTTTGCTTTGCTGTTGTTGCTTTTTATTTTGTTATTCTCCATTATTGCACTGTAATGAAGGGATAGGTATCATATCCCTTATATTATAACATCATCTCCCACTTTTAAAGCAAATTGAAGGCAAGGTAATGTAGAATCAAGAAGTCACAGCAGACCAGCCACCAGCCTCTGCAGACTTTCCTAGTCCCCCTTAAGAGGACATCCATGTGCCCAAAGGTCCCTGATGAATCACCGAATCCCACGCTGCTGCATCCTCACGCTCTGCTGAAGATGCTGGAAATAGATCATTCGGGTATCCCCGGAGCTGGATCCCATGAGGATGAAGCTGTGGGGCAGTGCTGGGGGGGGGAATCCCTCTCTTTTTTGCAGTAGATGATGCTGTACTCGGAGCTGTTCAACCCTCACCCTGGAAGAGCGAGTTTTCCACAGGGCCCCTTGGTCCTGCTCCAGGGCAGCCCCTGATGGGAGCTGGTGCAGGAGCTCACACTGGTGCTCCGGAGAGGAGGAGGCAGTGGGAAGAGCTCCAGCCACAGCCGCTCATCTCCCTGCCAGCCACACCTCCAACACCGCAGCTTGGAGCAGAGACAACAATCACCCCAGAGGAACTGCTCCATTCCCTCTGCTCATCCCGCTCCTTGGCCCCATCGGCCAACACTGGCCTGTTTGGTGGTGGGATTGAGCTGCCCTGTGAGACATCAGCATGCAGGGGTTGGAATGGGATGGGAAACACACCCAAGCCCACCCATCACGGTGCTGTGGCTGTGGGTACATGTCCCCCCATGCAGGATTTCACCCTCAATCAAGCACTGAGCAGGGACAAGGCTTTGGTGTTGCTCAAGGGGCCACGGGGTCAGGACATGGCCTGAGCTGTGAGCCTGCCCTGCTGGCTCCGAACACCGCCCAGGGGCAGCTTTCTGTGGCAGCCACAGAGATCTGAAGCCAGGCTGAGGACACTGGGGCTGTGCGGCTGCAGGGGGACCTCAGAGCAGCTTCCAGTGTCTGAAGGGGGCTATAAGGATGCTGGAGAGGGGCTCTGCATCAGGGACTGGAGCTATAGGACAAGGGGTGATGGGTTCAGACTGAAACAGGGGAAGTTCAGGTTGGAGATAAGGAGGAAGTTCTTTACTGTGAGGGTGCTGAGGCACTGGAATGGGTTGCCCAGAGAAGCTGTGGCTGCCCCATCAAGGCCAGGTTGGACACAGGGGCTTGGAGCAAGCTGCTCCAGTGGAAGGGGTCCCTGCCTGTGGAGATTCAGGTCCCTTCCAACCAGAACCATTCTCTTAAGCAGCTGTTGTGTTTATTTCTTGGGCTGGTCGCTGGCTGGGGTGAGGCAGACATCCCAGAGAGGGGAAGGTGGATGCTATCGGTCTCACTGAGGGGCTGGGGTCTGAAGCAGAGTGCCCGGCCTCCGGCAGCGTAGCACTAAGGGTAAGTGTTCACTGTGAGGGGACAGACCTTCCCGAAGGGATTCCCGCACTGGAAATAAACGGAGATCCACCTTGTCCTGTGGCACACAAGGAATGCCACAGGAGCGAAGGTAACGGCAGAGCAATGCAACCGGACCGCCATGTCCCTCATGAGGGTGGCCCAGCGCCGACCCCAAAATGGCGGCCGGCAGCCGCGAGCCCCCTCAGCGCGGGCTGGCCCCGCCCCACCCCGCCTCAAGCCGGGCGGGCGGGCGGCGGTCCTCCCCCCCGCTGGGGTCGCTGCAGCGGGCGGCGGCGGCGCGCAGGCCGCGGGGTGGGGTGGGGGGGGTCGCTCGCCGCCGGGCCCCGGTCGCGGCTATAAAGGGGCGGCCGCTGTCCGATTCCCCTCTCTCCGCTTGCCGGGCCGCTGCGCGTGAGTCGGTGTCGGGCCCGGCGCCACCGCGGGGCAGGGCCGGGGCAAGGGGTGGGGTGGGGGGAGCACGGGGAGGAGCCGGGGCTCCGGGCGAGCGCGGCTGCGGGTGCTGCGGCCCGCTCCGCTCCCCTCCCTCCGGCCGCCCCGCTCGGCCGCCGCCGCGCTGCGTGCTGCCCCGGCAGAGCCGGCCTGTTCGATATATATATATATAAAATACAACCCCAGCGGAGGAGATTTAACTGTAAATGAAAGGTTAGTATCAATATATAGTGCAGAGAGGGGGCGTGTTCCTAATTTTTGCCTTTTTTTACCTCAGAAAACCAAACGGCCTCCGCTGTGGAGAGCTGGGGCTACATCAGGCTCTTAAAGTGAAACGAGGGACGTGGGTTTAAGGGAGGTCGAGGCGGGTTTTGCCCAAGAGCTGTCGGTGGGAAGGCGCAGGAGACTGCGTGTGGATTTTGGCTTCATACCCGAGCCCTGCTCTCCTGGAGGCGTAACTTAAGTTACTCTGATTTCCAGGCCTCTGTCCCCCCCTTCAGCCGCTCTGTCCCCTTCTGCTACCCCCCTCTCCCGGGTTGTGTCTGCAGGCCCCGGCTTAGCGAGGCTTTAAATCAGGTTTTTGAGTCACCCCCCCAATTTAAACCTTTACCAAAAGCTCGACTTGAAGAAGCCCCGAGACTCGAGTGAGTTCCGCGCTGGGCGCACGTGGTGGGGGAAGATGAACGCGGCTGCCAGCAGTTACCCGATGGCGTCGCTGTACGTGGGTGACCTGCACCCCGATGTCACCGAGGCCATGCTCTACGAGAAGTTCAGCCCCGCCGGGCCCGTCCTCTCCATCCGGGTGTGCAGGGACATGATCACCCGCCGGTCCCTCGGCTATGCCTATGTTAACTTCCAGCAGCCGGCTGATGGTAAGTGACATGTGCAGCCGCAGCCGTGGCTTCTTTCCTTTGCTTTTATTCACTTGTTTTTTGCTCATTCACACTTCTGTTGGTGTCTGTCACTATTAAAACGTTACAGGGTAAGTAACTTGCTAGTGACTCAAGCTGGAACTTTTTTTAATGCTTGATGTCTACAAGATGCCCATCTTGGGAACGCCTCTGATGGGTAGACCCATTCCTATCTATTCTAGGTAGAAACTTTCTACCTATTCTAAGTAGAAAGTTCTGCCTATTTTAGATAGAAATCTATTTCTGCTTATTTCTATGTAGACCTATTTATAAGTGATATTATATTAAACTTTAAAGACTGGGATTTGTTTTTCATATAGGAGAATAATCTCCACTGTGTTCCCATATTTGTTTTCACGTAGGTTTGGGCTATTTGTGTGCATCTCTGTACAGTCAGGCCTAGTGAAAAAAGTTGAGAGTAGTCAGCCTTGGCTGAATGCTTAATTGAGCGTCTGGCTGCCCACTCACTCCAGTTTAATATTTAGGAGATATGATGGACTGCAAGTTGGTGTGTGCAGCAAGCAGCTGGATGGGTCTCCCAGTCTGGGAAGTGGTATTCCTGCATTAATGGGAAAGATGTATTGTTCAGTGTGTGGGAAACCAGGTTGTCTCACATGCATGTCTCACATGTTGATTTGCTCTTGCCAGACTTTTTTCATACCTTAAGTTGGTTCTTGCTCACGTAGGTATTCTAGAGCTGAGGCAGCAGGAGCATTAGAAAGATGGGACAGAACAGGTCACTTTGGAACACATCTTTTCTGTAAGGAAAATGGGTCAGCATTTTCTGCCCTAGTTTTCAGAGCCTTTGCTTGTTGACTGGTGCAAGTTTATTGCTCTGTACTGTCACCTAGCAGTATCTGCATGTGATGGAGACATTCAAAGGACAGATGAGAGTGAACTTTTCCTTTGAATTCAGCATTGATTCACAGCAGCACAGACTTCAGCAGCAAGTAAACTTCCTTTTAGGCTATAGTAGGTTCTCCTGCTTTACATTTTTACCAACAGCAGAGTGGTCTGTCTGTGGCACAGGTTCATTGACTTTGGATCAAAGCATTATGGAGATATATAGAATAACAGGAATGATATTCAAGTTGTATTCCTGCAGGCTAGCAGAGCCTCTGGGATTGAGAAATGCTTGGATTTTACTTAGTCTGTTGTGATGATGTGCCATCCTAGCTTCCATCCTCTCCCAGGTCAGAGTACCTTCTGCATGCCCTTGCTTTGGGATGCAGGCGGATCTGATCCAGCACTTCTGATCCTTTCTCTTGCCAGGCTGATGAAAAGCTGCTTTGCACTCCAGTGCATAATTACTCATTCATGGAACTCTCAGAAGTGCTTTTTTTTGCAGGCTAAGCAATGTATTTCTGTTATGAAACTTCTCAGTTAGAGGGAAAGAACCTTAGAGCCTGATTATGTGATCTGCTGAGCCCGTCTGCTCTGAATCCCCGTTAGAAAACCACCTCGGGAGGTTCATGTGCTGTGCAGGCAAAGGTACAATTATCCTGCCTGTGTTTAGGATATGACCTCATTTTTCAGGATAAGAGAAATAAAAGCAAGGAGCAGAAATAGAGCCAAAAAAGAGCTCGGAGTTCAGATTAGAGAAATGTTGGTGAAATGGGGTGCAAAAGTCTAGATAAAGTTCTCTTAAAGTAGACAAGACATGTGTAATACATATGTTAAAATGGAAGAGTAACTGGTGGTGTGCATGCCTTAGCAGAAAAGTTCTGCAGCTCATACAAATCTGAGGATATGGTGGCTTTCCAGTGCATTTCAAGGTAATCTTTTATGGTAATAAATAGGCAGGATTTCAGAGGCAGGTTGCATCATTCAGGGCTCCTGGTGAGGCAGCAGACATTTTAGGAAGTCCCAGTGCTTGAAGTGATACTTCAGCAAAGTGGTGTCCTGTTACTGCTGGGTCTTAGAAGGTCAAGAGATTTCAACCTAATCATATAGTTAATGTGGACAAGGAGAAATACTCAAACTCCTCCTGCCCTGATGAAGAGATCTCTTGTGAAATGCTTCTGATTTCTTCTGGCTGGCAGAGTGCAGTGTGTGTTACTTTGCCTAAGTGAAAACCAGCTGCTGTGCTGAATGTAATGCAGGAAAATGTACACAGATAGCTTTGGAAAGGTGGTGGGGTACTGTGGGCTCCCTGAAACACACTTGAATATGAGGAGCAGAATTTCTGTTGCCAAATGCAGGAATAGTGATGATTAAAGTTTCCTGCAGGAGGGATCTGTGTTTTCTTCCAGGAATACATAATCAGAAATGCATTTGGGCTTCATTTTACTGAATCTGTGAGGAGGTGTGGGGTGTTGCATAGCACGGAAGGGATCTGTTTTGATTTATGGGTGATAGGAGATGCTACAAAATCCCACTTAAAGTAGCTGGGAAGCTTTGTGCTCTAAAAAATTATAGGGAAGTTCTTGTGGACACGTTGTTGGTATGCTTCAAGTGGCAATAAGTGTTAAAGAATTTACTATACGATAGCTTGCATTTCCCTGGCATCTTTTGTGGAAGGAGGAGTGCTTTTAAATCTGAAGAAAACAAGGGATCACTTTTTAGCGTGGTAAACAGGTCTCTCTGGCCTTACATCTAGAGAAAGGCCACCGAGCAAATCATGGAGCCAGAACTCTTCCCCATGATGTGGGGCCTCCAGGAGCTCATACTGTTACATCCTGATCACAGTTCTGTACTTCCAGAGTTCCTGTCTCTGAATTGCCTCAAAGCTGCTTGTTTCCTTTGTTTTTATTAGCTGATGGAGAGATGCTTGACCCTGGCAGGGGCTGTGCATTGTCTCACTGGTGTAGTCTCTGCATAGAGGTTATTTTTAGTGAAAAGAAGTTCTGCTGTTTTCAATTGAACTTTGGTGTAGTAACCAGTGAATGCTGAACACTGAACCTGTTGTACTGTGATAGGCAGATTAAGCTTCAAAGGTCTGGCTGGTTCAGGCTCAGCTGTAGTTGTTTATTCTTTCTGACTGTGAAGAAGGGAAAGAAAAACTCATTTCATTTGAAAGAAAAGCTGAATTTCCTTTTTCACAACTTCCTCATGCAGGTTAATTGCATTCCAGGGTTTCATAATAATGGCACTCATGACATGACAACTGAGATAATGAAGCAGAGAAACTTTAATATGGCTCCAGAGATAAGCTGTTCTGGAAGTACAGAGAAAACAGAATGTTTCCCAAGCCAAGACAGAACCCAGAGCTGGGGAGAGATAAATAGCTCTGAAGCAGCAAGGTGTGCAAGTGTATGGATAAAGTTTTTGTCCCTTCCTTAGAGGAGAAGACAGTGTGAGGGGAGAGCTGAGGTCTTCATTGCCAGCAGTGTTTTGTTCTAACTCCAGCAACCAAGAGATTTAAGCCTGTCCCTGTGCAGAGTTTCTCATGGGTGAATCTTGGGCTATGCCTGTGGTTATCTGTGTTCATGTTGCTCAACCACAGCTGCTAATTCCAGCATTGTGTTAGCTCTGCAGCAGGGAGCCTCTAAGGCAGATTAATGACTTTGAGGCCTCAGGCAAACTGCAAGGAGTGTTCATGTGCTTTCCCTACCTAGAAGGCTGTGGAAGAGGAATGAAAAGGAAGCCTGAAAGAGGTTAAGAGAATGTGTAATGTTCTATATGAGTTGCAGTTGAGTCCGTTGGAAGGATGACAGGAACCAGTGGGAGAGACAGATACAGGAACTGAAATGGCTGAAACTTCGTGGCTTAAATAGAAAAAAAATGAGAAGGTGTTTGCTCAGATTAAGGAAATGAATCAGATGAGCTTAGTGTGAGTCACATAATTCATGCTGATCCTTTACAGGTTTTCTTAGGTCCTGGTGTAATGTGATTGCATTTCCACCTGTGGGTATGACAGACCTTCCTCAGATCATCCAGAGCTTTCTTGCACCCATGCTTACAAGAAGTGTCTGAGTGAATTTTAAGTGGACTATAATGATAGAGTGCGATACTAGCAAGCTATTGAAAGAGCAGGGCAATAGTATGTGCTTAAGTATGTGATGAGAAAGCTCTAAAGAACTGGGAGTAGTTTATAACTGGGCTGTATCTTGATAGTTGCTGCAGTGTTTCACAGGTCCCTCTGGTTCTGTGTCACTGCTACATCTGCTTGTCACCTTTCAGCAGGAGCCCTGTTTCTGCTGCAAATGGTATATGCAACCAGTTTGTGTCCTTGCCAACACATGCTTCTGCAGAACCTCTCCCTGCTATAAATAAACACTGCCAAATTTGACAAGCTGGACCGAGTTGCCTGCTGAAGTGCCTCTTAGGAGTGGGCTGCAGGAAGGACCTCACTTGCACTTGCACTGACTCAGAGTAGCAGCTGAGGAATCATTTTAGCATGGCAGTTAGTTGCATTCAACACCTTGGACTGAACAGAGCTACTAGAGTCCTTGCTAGTATAACTTCCCTCCTTCTTTTATTTTTCCTGACTGCCTCAGGAATGAAGTCCAGCAGAGCTCGCCTCCCAGCTGGGTGTATGTGTGGAGGTGTATGTGGGGAAAATAGCAATAGCACCACTTCAGTTTAAAACGCAACAAGAAGAACATTTCAAAGCACTTGAATCATTCTGGGAAACTCCCGTGCAGTAGTGGAAAGTTGATTTTGGGGGTAGGGAGTGCAGGAGGCTTTTGTAGGCCATGTCACATAGGGGTTCCTAGAGCTAGTCTTGTGAAATGCTGAGTGGTGCAGCTCTGGCTGCGCCAACAGAGTCACGTGAAAGAAAGTGTTTGAACTGCCATTTTCCCTGAATTTCCTGCTCCTGAAAGCTAATCAGCAATTCTCTCTGGGTGAAGGTGGCTTGGAAGAACTGAGCCAGACAAATCTGGAAAACTCAGGTTCTGCTTTGTTAATATTCCTTGATTTTAATGCACGTCTATCCCTCTCTTTTCCCGCTTCATGCTGGGGATTAACAGTCTGTCTTTTTCTCTGCTCGCTCCATGCTGGGAGTGTTTTCTGGCACAGAAGAGTCCCAAGCATCTCAATTTTATGAACAGGATCCTGATGTGTGTACGTAATGATCCTTTTAATATAGCAGTAGGCAGCAGAAATAGAATCGTGGAGGGGGTTTCAGTGTAGGTTAGAATGACAGTGCTGGGGTTTTTGAGTTTAGATCAATACTTCCCTGTTCATCAGATGAGGTTATGAGTTTCCCCCCCCCCCCCTCGAGTTTTGTCCACTTCTGCTGTCATCTTTAAATTGAGCAACTGAGGAATCTTTGGGGTTTTTTTGGCCACATAAGTCAGAAGCTGCCTCGTTCCTTCTTCAGCCAGCCACGTGTTCCTGCATGCTCTCCCTGACGCGATGGGGAGATGATCCTTTTCTCTTCATAGAGATGAGTGCGGGTGGATGTGAGCTTTGTGAGAAGCAACCAAGCCAACCAGTCACTTTTGTTGCTTCCCTTTTTCCCCAGGGTTTCCTGTATTTACTTTCCTCCTTTGGGTGGAGCAGTTTACCTTTATAATAGTTAAGACTAACTGATAAATCCCAAGCATTTTGCTGTTCATTTTGCTGTGGTTGTTAAAACATTAATACAGATTTGAAAGAGTCTATTAAGCCTATTCCATACTTAAACATGTCTAATGACTGTCCTGCAAAGACCTCCCTTGAAACACTGAGTTAAAAAGTCATTGGAATTGGTCACCAAATGCCTCCATGAGCTGAGTAGAATTCAGAGGGAATGATCACCCCCGTGATGGAAGCCTTTATTCTTTAACAAACCACAGAAATCTGTTCTTGACTTCTCTTGCAGCTGAGCGTGCTCTAGATACCATGAATTTTGATGTGATCAAAGGAAAACCCATTCGCATCATGTGGTCTCAGAGGGACCCCTCCTTGAGGAAGTCAGGGGTTGGG